AGCGTCTAAACGAACATTCTTGGCAAATGTCAAAAGTCTTTTAGACGTACAGAATGGTGTATATACAAAGAAAATTTTTATGAGTAAATTTAAAAAAAATATTTTTTTTCCGATAGAAAAGATGACAGAAAAATTAAACTTTTTACATAGCGCCAGACCCTTCTTGCCCACATCTTTTTAAGCCACAATATATAGACATAGAACTAAATAGAGAAAGCGAAATTCCACAAACAGAAGAAAGCGAAATTCCACAAACAGAAGAAACATATAGAGACCTAGATAACGAAAATGGATATGCGCTATTCTGGTTAGATTGTCCTTATGAAATGTATGAAAAAAAGGCTTTATATGAAGAATATAGAAAATATTGTCATGAAAACGATATAAGACCAAGCTCTAGAGAAAAATTCTATGCTGGTATAAAACATCTTTTCGAAGTTCGGAATGGCAAATATAGAAAGAAATAATTTTTCTGAGTAAATTTTAAAAAAAATATTTTTTTATCCGATAGAAAAGATGACGAAATATATTTCAGTAAACAAGTACATGTCAGGACTTAAAGAAGAACTAGACCCATTCACATATTTGAATGTTTACTTCTACCATTTTGAAAAGTCTACATTTGACAAAGTTTGGAACATCGAACCAGTTAAGTTTGCTATTGTGACTAAAAATGGTGCGAAATTTGAAGACTTAGACATAGAAGGTTTGTTAGCAGTCAAAGAAAGTTTTGACAGAAGGTTTTCAAACCTTAAAGAAGGCAAAGCATACAAACTTGTTATACCTTATGAACCAAAGAAAGCAGACGACTATGAATATTATGAGTCTAAGATAGTTGAAGTTCAAGGTAAATTGGGTAAAAAGATTTTAGAGTCTAAGCCAGTGTTTGCTCCTAAAGAGGAAGAGAACATTGACATTGACCCAGAAATGTTCTAAAAATAAAATTTTATTTTTACATGTCAAATTTCTTTTTCTCTGGAACTGGTTCAGGTTCTTTCTTCTCTTCTTCTACTTTCTTTTCTTTCTTTTCTTTCTTCTTCTTTTCTGGTGGTGAGACGTCAAATTTGGCGCAACCATATTTATGTAAAAGTTCTTTGTCCTTTAATAGCTCATCTATTCTGTTTTCTATTTCATCTTCAAGAACAGCGCATGTGTCTTCTTTGCATTCTAAGAAATTTTGTTGGACTTCATCTTTCCAATCGGTGTCATCTCTGTCAACAAGTCTGTCATTGACAAACTTAAAGACTTCTCTGCCTAATGTTTTATGGTTCTTGTCATATTCCCAGAAACAGAACTTTAGAACAAATTCACCTTTCTTGTTTACACTATGTAAGATTTTATGGTCGACAGATGTTTTGCTGTCGAAAAGCTTGTCTCGAATATAGATAGCGAAATCGCTAGACATTTTCTAAAAGATAAAAATTTTAATTTTTCTAAAAATATGTTAGAAAAAAAGTTTGCTGACATTGACAAAAAATTTGAGAATGTTTTAAACAAGAACAAGAGGAAGTTAGAAAATGCTCAGATAAAGCCATACATGACAAGTTCTTATTTGCTCAGAATGGTATAACAGGTCTAATTGCACCACCTGGGTCGGGTAAGACTTTCACTTATCTTAAAATGGCTGCACAACAACAAGAACTAGATGAGAAGAACCCATTCTATGAGTTAGTTGTCATTTGTAGTACTTCTGGTCAATTTGACCAAACCGTCAATTCGTTCAAAGATATTATAAAGAAGTCTAAGTTAGTATGTATAAGGATACTGAGTTGTTAGATTGGATAAAGAAGTACCAAAGAAGAGTTTTGAAGTATAATGCTATAAATGAGTATATAAATTCTAAGTTTAAAGAACCTAATGAGGAAATGCAGAGAATATTAGAGAAGAAACACTTCAAAACAAACAGAAAGAGATAGAATACATTTCGAAGAAATTGCAATCTTACGATTGGAAGACTTACCCTCATAGATGTCTTCTTATCTTAGATGACTTTGCTTCTCATCCTTTGTTAAAGAACAGAGAACAAGATATGTGTCGAATTCTTAAGAAGCTCAGACACTTTAACATCTCAGTCGTAATATGTGTACAGACAGCAAAGAGTTTAAGTAAGGATGTTAAAAGAATACTTACTGACATTGTACTTTTCCCCGGATTGTCCGAAGACGATTTCATGGAACTTATGAAAGAGTCCATGGCAGGTAAGTTTGACAGACATGAACTATGGGAGAAGTACAAAGTCATACAAGACCCTCATACTTCTTTCAGAATTCATATCTACGCGAACAAAGTTCAAATTGTAAAAAGTCAAGCTTGAAAAATGTAAGTGTTTAGTCTTAGTAAGTAAGTCTGTTGTGGTGCTGGGGCTGTCGGTTCTTCTGGCTTTGGAAGGCATTCAGGAAGAGGAACGTCAGTCATCCGTTTGTGTCCTGTCGGAAGGAAAAACTTTTTCTGTCGGAAGGAAAAACTTTTTCTGTCGGAAGGAAAAACTTTTTCTGTCGGAAGGAAAAACTTTTTCTGTCGGAAGGAAAAACTTTTTCTGAAGTTCGACCAAAAAGTTCTCAATTTTCGAAAATTTGAATGGTTTACGGACGGACAACTGGAAATTTTTTTCCTGTCGGAAGGAAAAATTTTTTCTGTCGGAATGAAAATTTTTTCCTGTCGGAAGGAAAAATTTTTTCTGTCGGAAGGAAGGACTTGGAATGCCAGAAGGATTTGACAAGGCAATTTACCTAATTGAGCTACTTGAGCCATCTGAAGTCAAGCTTGAAAAATAAATGGTTCATCTACTCTACTTGTTTGAAGTTGTCAAAATACTCTGTTATTTTTTCCTTCAGTAGCGGTAAGTCTTCTTTGAAGGTAAAAATTGTACAACCTTTCATATCATAGTGTGTTTGAGGTAACGTATCTTGAACTATTTGTTTCACATCTTCATTCGGTGTCATTGAAATCGGTAAGTTTTCGCGATAGAACCAATTTCTGTCAGATTTGTAAATCTTAGCAAGGTCGTAAAAGCTTTTGTTGTTTCTTCTGACTAAATGCAACATAACCATATCTCTGTCTTCTTCATTTTCCATCTCTTCAGTATAAATCATATACTTATAGTTCTTTTCCTTACCTTTTGGTACCGAACGTGGTATTCTTTTCTGAATGCTTTTGTCTTTTGCTTCAATGACTTCATCTTTTGCTTGAAGTTTCTTTTCCATCTCTTCACGTTCTTGTCTATGAATTTCGTCAAGAAGTCTGTAAATATACCAAGCATAACGAGGCGAAGCCCACATTGCAACAGCATTTACAAGAAGTCTATGTACATACCAACCTCTCAAACCATTTGGCAAATTTTTACGATTTTCATGAGTTTTAGGCGACCCCGAAAAAAGTCGGTCTCGCTGTTCTTCGCTCAAAAGTTCTTGTGTGCTTTGGTTTTTGAACCAATCGTCTGTATGTTTGGTATCTGGAGCAAAACATGCTGTCAAAATACTTTGCATTTGGTACATATCGTCTTTGACCGAACGAATGAGACGGAGTTGTTTGTTAAACTGTATGTACTCGTATTCTTCATTTATGGCTTCATGGACTATAACTGTTGTTGTGTTCTCGGTTGTTGACATATCTGTCTTTATATTCCGGATAAAAAAATAAAAAAAATAAAAATAACTTTATTTTTTCTATCTTAAGGAAACTCATGATTTTCATAGAGTTTTGGCGACCCAGATAAAAGTCGGTCTCGCTGTGCTTCATGATTTTCATAGAGTTTTGGCGACTACCTTTTCTTACGTACTCGCTGTTCTTCACTGTTTTCGTACGGAATCTCTACCCTCGGTTTTTCGAGGGTAGCAATCTTATGCCATTTTACTCAGATTTTTGTGCTGAATTCAGCAAAAATAATGTTTAGGTGAAGTGGTGCGATCTCACCTGTTTTTTCACCTGTTTTCTCACAAGCGTTTTACATGGTAAACGTTATTTTTACATGTATTTTTCAGCAACTTCGTCAAATAATTTTATAGCTTTATCTATCTCATCTACTTCAAACGTTTCTTTACCTTTTATGGGCACCATACATTTTCTCAAAACTTTTCAAGTAGTTCTGTTTCAGCAGCTCTCATATCATTAACTAACACAACCTTGACTCTATTGACTGTACTGTCATATCTTAGAGTTATATTATATGTCCTTCCTATCTTATATCTTTTTGTGTTGAAGTCCTTCGTTCTGAACGATGTAAAGTAAGCCTTCACTGCAACGTTCCGTATTGAATGAACCATATGTTATGAAGTTATATCCAACAACTGGGTCTAACCATAACAAAACTATTGGTATAAGACTTTTGTCTATAAGATATGCTGCAGTTCCATAGAATTTTACCGATATCATAAGCTCAGATTTCTTGTCAAAATTTTCTGAGTAGAAGCAATTTTAACCCAGTGGTTTGTTTTCTTTCAAATGGAGATAAAAATGTCTGACAAAGAATATTTGTTGTATTTCTTTGAGTATCTTACGTTTAAATCACCTATTCTAACCACTTTGGTGTCATTGTCTATCTTTCCAACTGTTTCAAACTGAATGTTTGACATATCTTTCTTTAAGTCTGCATAGTCGTTTCTCATACGTTCTATCTCTTTGACGGAGTAGTTATATTTCCTAATTGCTGCTTTACATTTAGAACATTGCGGGTTCATTTTTGCGTTATACATTGAAATAAAACCAGCTAAAACAACTAAAGCGTTAATTGCTCTCTTCATCTCAAACATAGCGGGTCTTATTTGTTCATTCCATACCTTACCTCTTCTATCTTTATCTTATCTGCCATACACATTTTGCAACTAACGAAACAAAGTTGTCGTAGGTCTTAAATTCTTCAGATTTATATATGTCAGAAACATTCTTATATACCATGTCGCAATCTTTGTCCATAACCTTATGGTTGCAATGAAATCCTAGAAACTCATAGTTTACCTTTCGTATGAACTTCTTTATTTCTACTGAGTCAGTTGCTTTGACTTCTATTTCGTCGAATTCAGGAATAGTGAGTTTTTGTTGTTGGATTTCAGGCAATTTGGTAAATGGTCAATAATGTCCTGCATTTCATAAAGATACTGTTCATTTGTTTCATCTTTCGCACTACAGTCTAAATTACTTGTTAAAAGTTCTTGCTTTATCTTCTGGATTTCTGTTTCGAAAGTATATGAAGAAGGAATGAAGCTTTTCATCTCTACTAACATAGATGTTGGATTCATGACTAGCGAGTTTGGTGCTGTAGTTGTTTGAATTGTTGTTGTGCCGATTGTTGACATTTTATTTTTTTATACAAAATAAAAAAAATAAAAAAAATAAAACTAACTTTATTTTTATTTCGGGAAAATTCATGAAAATTCAAGAGGGTAGAAAAGAGGGTAGAAGACAGGTTAGATCTAACCTTCTACCCTAAACATTATTTTTGGGTCCTTTACACTCATTACGAAGAAGTCTTGACAAAACATTTACGAAGAAGTCTTGACAAAACATTTACGAAGAAGTCTTGACAAAACATTTACGAAGAAGTCTTCACAAAACATTTACGCTCATTACGAAGAAGTCTTGACAAAACATTTACGATGAAGTCTTGACAAAACATTTACGAAGAAGTCATGACAAAACATTTACGCTCATTACGATGAAGAAGTCTTGACAAAGCATTTACGAAGAAGTTTTGACAAAGCATTTACGAAAAAGTCTTGACAAAACATTTACGCTCATTACGAAGAAGTCTTGACAAAACATATACGAAGAAGTCTTGACAAAACATATACGAAGAAGTCTTGACAAAACATTTACGAAGAAGTCTTGACAAAACATTTACGAAGAAGTCTTGACAAAGCATTTACGAAGAAGTCTTGACAAAGCATTTACGAAGAAGTTTTGACAAAACATTTACGAAGAAGTCTTGACAAAGCATTTACGAAGAAGTCTTGACAAAACATTTACGAAGAAATCTTGACAAAACATTTACGAAGAAGTCTTGACAAAACATTTACGAAGAAGTCATGAGTTTTCTACGATGTTAGAAAAAATGTTATTTTCTAATATCTTCACATTCAATACTTTTTCAGCACTTTTCCGTAGTTATATATGAAAGACAATTCGAGATAAAAGTCATAGTACAATGGAATAATATGTTGCACACCATTTGTTGTGAACCAAACTTGAAAGTCAGAGAAACTGTTACTAGGTGGTTCGTAGAATTTAGAAGCAAAGTCATAAAAGTCCTTACCAATACATAGAAAACTATTGTTGCTTGAACTGAAACTTGCATGACACATAACATTTTGAGGGTCAAACACGTTTCTATAAACTGTCAAATCTGCTGGTGGAAGTATAAATTGAAATGGACCATCTGGTGGTAATGGTTCGTTCTGGTTTAGTAACCGAAGAAATTGTGCCCAAGAACGTTTGTCTACTTTCCAAAATAAAAACTCTGTATCTCTTGGAGGGTTAATTTCAATCTTTTGAAATGAAACGGTGGAGTTCATCTTGTCATATTCTAGTTTCAGATAGTATGTTCCATTTAGTAAAGAGTCGTATTTTTCTTGAAATTCCCAATAATATTTGTTCATTTGAGTTTGAAAGTCATTTAGAGTTTTCTCAAGACTTTCGTCTGAACGAACTGTAAAGATCCTCATTTCGTCAAATTTGTCTATTAGACCATCATGACCTTTATACTGCCCATGAAAATATACTGCGAACATAAATGCGTTAGTTCTATTTGAAAACAAAACTCTTCTAAATCCTATTGCCTTTGCATCTGAAGGACTTTGAAGCCAACGAATTGGATAGTCAAACCTGTATGCTCGGGATGAAATTTCATCATCTGAAATAGTCCTACCAGCATTTGTAAAGATATAGTCTAACGGTTTTGTATCTGCTACTTTTGTTCTTTGTTTTTCAACCTGAAGCATTTAATATATGTAAAAATATATTGTTTTAAAATGGTATGCCATTTCATATTTCTCATCTAACAAACAAGTTTCCCAACGGTCTTCTCCAACAAACTCAGCGTACATTTCAAATAAAATTAAAAAATGTCACTTTTTTAAAATAATTTTTTATTTCATGCAATGTTTTATTTCTGTGCCGTCTTCAAGTATGCCCCAATATTTCCTTTTCGATATTACATGAACTTCGGAAAATACCTTATCTAGCTTAAAACAGCCCATCTTCTCACCGACTAAACCCATTTCAATGAGTTTGTTGTATCCTTCTTCGTTCGTCATGAGTGCGTCAATGTTCTCATAGTAAACCACAACTTTCGATTTGACTTCGGAGAAGAATTTGTTGTAGTTGTCAAGGACTGCCTTTGCGAACTGAGGGTAAGACCAATGTTCGACAATAGGTTTTAATGTGGTTACTAAGCCACTTTGACCTTGAGTGAATTCATACTTCAAAACAAAAGGAGAAAACCTTTCAACAAAGTTGTCGACCTTCTCATAATGTTTACTCTTCATCTCTTGAGGTTTCTTAATGGAATATCCCCATGTCGAATTCATAAGCAATTTGAGTGTCATTGCAAGTTTGGGGTTTGAAGCTTTCCTAATATCATACAGTTGTTGTATGACTTTTTCCAACTGTATAGTTCCTTCCCGGGAACTCACATCTTCGTTTGGAATTCCAGTCGGAATATATTGGACAAACCTCATGTATGCAGCGTTAAGGTCGACATAGTATATCTTTTCATCTGAGTCGAACTTGTCGCAACCAATTGGTCCAGTTTGTGGAAATTCAAGTGAGTCTCTTATCTTCTGAGAAACTTCTCCTGTTATCTCATAAACATCGTCGAAGCAACCTGTTTCATATAAAACCTTCTGACCTAACTCAGATGCTCTCCAATACAATTTGACGTCAATTGGATGTCTCAATGGAAGTTTGTTTATAGCATCTTGAAGTTCTTGCAACCTCATTGGAAGTTCTTCTGGTTCAGGTTGGTATCCGAACAATCCAACTCCTTGTGGAATTGTGTACTTCTTTTGTACTAGAACTTTGTCTGGAACAACTTTTGGTCTTGCTAACAGTGAAAAGTTTGTTTCGTCTTTTGGTACAAAAGTTTCTGTCAGCTTGTCATCTGGAATTGGTTCCAACAAACCTTTCTCGAAAAGAATGTTTACAGCTCTGACAATGTTGCACTTGCCTTTTCCGAACAATGGGTTTGTAAGACTTTCGTTCAACATGAAGTGGTTGTGGACAATTACAATCTTCAACCATGGTAAATTGAACTCAACAACATAGTCGTCATGTGAAGAACCTTTAGCTGTAGGTATGTTGACTCGGATATTGACATTTGCCAACGGTGCAATTTTTGCCAATTGACCTCTGAGAATGTACCTTGTCTTCACACATGACTCAAGATACTTCATCTTCTCATCTGTAACAAGACCAGAGTTCCTGAGACATGTAAGAATGCAAGGTTCGTTGACAATTGTTTCAATTGAATTGTAAATTCCATACCTTGTCAAGTCAATGTCAGACTTATTTATGAACGGGAAGTATCCAGCATGTTGTCTGACTGCTTGAGGGTTAGGTTGGTACCATTCGAACTTGACACTTGCAATTCCTTCAATTGCATTCAAAATGTCTGAGTCGGAGTCAACCATTTGTTCTCTCTTTGTAGTCTTGAAAGCGTCAAGAAGTTTTGCAGCTGTTTGTTCATTGCCATTTGCATAGTAAATGTGACCATCCAAATCTGTTATGGTCAATCTGAGATTGTGTCCTTTCTTATTTCCGTCTTGTATGGCAGCAAGTACACCCATGAAGCCTTCTTTGTTCTTTCCTTCGTCAAAGTTTACTGTAAAGGTTCGACCAGATGTAATTTGACTTCTAACTTCACGGTACTTCTCATATGCATATCTTGTTCTTTCCATGGGAGCATGACCATCCTCTGCACTACCTTTTTTCCTTCTCAAAGGATGCAATTGTTCGTCATGTTTCCAGTAGAATCTGGCAAAGCCGTCGTGTCCTTCAACTTGAGGTTCACTAACATCGAAAGGCATGTTCATAAGACGTTCTTCTTCTAACCTCTCTAGTCTGTTTGGATAATTGGCACGTGCTGTTTCCAAATCCATTTCGTAGCGAAGACCAGCCAGTTTGTCATAGACTTTTATGGGTCTTCCTTTCTTATATTTAAACTTCTTCGAAACTCTCCAACCATATCTTTGCAACTCTGCTTTTATTCTAGCAGACTTTCTATCCATTCTATATGGGGGCATTTTTATAAAAATAAAAAAATATTTTTTTCTTTACTTTACATAACCGCCTGCTGCCATAAGTCTTTGACGCCAACCCATACCAGCTAATGAAGGTTGACTTGGTTTAGTTTCCAAACTAAACTTTGGTTTTGGTTTATCTTCAGTTTTTGGTTTTTCTTCTTCTATCGGTTTTTCGTCACTTTTCGGTTTCTCTGACTTTACTTCACTTGCAGGAACAGTTGTGTCGTCAACATCTTCATAAATATCATATGCCATTTGTTTTTGTTTTCCTTTCAACTTTTTGTGTTTGTTGTAAAGTTTAGAATATTTCGACTCTAAGTCAATGAGATGTTCTATAATGAACTGTTGGTCAGTGAAGTAAACTTTTCCATCTGTTGTCTCGAAAGCTCCTTCAGACTTCAATATTTTATTTGTGAGAGTCTGTTTCTTTTTTGAGATACTAGCCGTTCCATTTCTATGAAAAGTGACTTTATAGTTAGGGTTTGTATTTCCAGACCTGGCACTTTCTATTATTGAATTTTTCTCTTCATCGGTAAGTTCTTTGACAGGTTTTGACAATGGTTCTGAACTTTTTGTTTGTGGTGTCAAATCTACCGTTTCAACTTCTTCGGTCATTTCATCTCAGTAAAAAATTTTAGTTTGGTTTGTTTTCAACTGGTTGTTTAGGTTTTTTAAGTCGGTCTAAAACTTCCTGAGGTATAGGAAGAACTTGACAAACACGTGGTGTAACTGCTGGAAGCCGACAAATCCATCTTGAACCCATTTGTCTCAATGCTGTATTGTTCATTTCATCTCAGTAAAAAACTTTACATTCCCCACGTTTGAGGCGGTTGAGGTTGGTTATTGTTTACCCACTGTTGTGCATGGTTATATCCTCTGTTAAAGAATCTTTCACCTTGGTCCATATAGTGTCCTGCTTGGTTATAGTAGTCATTTGCTTTGTTATAATAGTTTCCTGCTTGTCTTCCTACATTGTCCATCCATCCTTGAACTTTTCCTCTTGTTTCAGGATTTGGAATAAGATTTGTTGCATCTCGTGCTACATCCCAACCTTTCTGTACAGTTTGTATAATAGGTTGTGCTTTCTCTTTAAGTATACCTAATGTACTCAAAATCTTCCTTCCAACTCCAAATACACCTCTGGCTATTGTTCCCACTGCGGGCAAAAATCTGGATGCAACTCCTGCTAATGCGCCAAATAAACCCATTTCTTATGGGTTAAAAAATGACGAATCCAAACAAGGACCCCTATGTTTCTAAGGCAACAAAAAAAGCACTCATGATAAAAATCTTTAGTTCAACACCAAATGCTTGGTTTATGGATATCTTGGAAAACATTCCGAGGTATAGAGAAGATGGACCACCATACTGGTTAATATTTGTTGGTCAAAACACAAGATACTGTGAAGCCATACCATTATGGTCCAAAAATATTTTAGATGTGAAAACTGCTTTGACAATATTCGTTGACAAATACCATCCAACAAAACTGACATCTGACTGTGAAAGTTCTTTCAAATCAGATGATGTAAAAACTATCTGCGTTCAAAAAATGTAAACCAATATTTCATTGTCGACCAAAACCATTCTGCTCTTGGTGTCATTGACGGTTGTATAAAAATGTTAAGAGACTTAAACCAACCACAAGGTGGTGAAGCAAATGAAATGTCATATGACGACAAATATAGACACTTCTCCATGGCAAAGATGAGACAAGTTTTAAATATTTACAATAGCCGTAAACAAAAAGGTTTGGGAAACCACTCCCCCGAAGAAATGAAAAACAACCCTGACTTAGAGAAAGACTATATATTTAATAATTTAGTCAAAAGAGACAAACAAGAAAGAATGCCGGGCTTCAAACTTCAGAAAGGTGACAAAGTAAAAATAGAAATACCTAAACGCGACCCATATGAAAATACTATTGACTATGACAACAATGGGAACCCGACAGGTACTCACATTCGTGTTCGTAAAAATAGAAGAAAGTATACAAGAGAATATTATGAAGTTTTAGGCAAACATGGCAAAATGTACAGACTGCAAGCAGAAGATAAAACGACTATTGTCAGACCTCGTTTCAAACTTGTCAAAGTTCAAGGTGGTATACTTTCAAAGACAGTTCCTAACAAATATAAGACAACTCCTGACGAATATGCTAAAGAAGTTGAAAATGACGACTAAGCATTTCTATACCATGCGTAAACTGTCATGTAAGGTGGCATGTATTCTTTACTTTGTCCCGTTGTTTGCGTATATCCTGAAACGCGATGTGTATGGATTCCTCCTCCATCAGTGTTATTCCAGTAACAATTTATAGCAAACTTAACGTCCTCTTTAACATCATATCCTTTACCTTTTGTCATTCCTGACCAATCCCAAAATCTATGACTATGCAAACCTGCTTGAGATGTACTTAAATCTATGTAGTGACTGTGTGCAGGTAAATTTGCACCTGAAATCGTTTTACTTCCACCTGTTTCCTTTGAAGAGTTTGCACAATACAAAAACCTGTCGACTATTTGAGTCCAAGTTCCAAAACCAAGTACTACTTCTGGTCTGGTAGAGTTCATTGACGTATAAATAGAGCCTATAGGATATAATGTTTGAAGTATTTCTGTCTTTAATGTTTGAAGCTCTGTTTTGTCTGCTTTCTTGTCTAACATTGCGGGTAGTTCATATGCTTCAAAGTTTCTGGCATGATCTTCGATATTCCTGCAACTCTTATCTAAATTGTTAAGAGTATCTTTTACGCTTGTACTCGGATTCTCTAAAGGTGCACTTGAACCAAGGTCAAAGTTCAGTATTATGTCGTCTGCTCTAACAGTAGTGAAGGATTTATGTGTATGGTTCTTATCTGCTTTCTTTTCAAGGCTAACGTTTAAGTCTGTTATTTCAGATATAGAATGTGTATGTCCAACGGCACTTTTCCTGTTTAAGGTTTCTTGTAAGTTTGTAATATTTGCAATGGTATGTGTATGTCCAACGGCACTTTTACTGTTTAAGGTTTCTTGTAAGTCTGTTATTTCAGATATAGAATGTGTATGAGTCTTTTTAGAATATTCGTTTTTAGCTCTTGTCACTTCACTTGACATTTTATTGTCAACATATGTTTTGTCTGCTAGTTCAGGATGAGTATGTTCTTTTGTTGCATAAGCATTGTTAGCTCTTTCTTCTTCTTTTGCTATTGCATCGTCTACATATTCTTTGTCAGCTTTGTTGTCAACATCTGTTTTCAAAAGAAGTTCATTTATAGGTTTCTCGTTTAAAGTCCTTTTGTTGGATTTATACAGACAGTATTGTTCTTATTGTCTTGAAACAGAAACTCATCTGTTAAAGGGTTAATGTCAGTTTTAAGTTTCCTTCTTTCAATGACTCAGATATCTTAGAATAGTTTGAAAAGTTTGTTGTGTTCTTATTTAGAGCTTGCATAATGAGTTGTCGGTTGTGTTGTATTTCTCTCATGGAAGCAATATCTTTCGACATTTTTATTCTAGATAAAATATGCTTCCAATAGAAAAAAGAAAATTCAAGAGTTGCTACAACTAAACCATTAGATGAACTTTTTACTAATGTCGGTCAAAAGTTTGAGACAGAGACCGTAAAGCATGAAGGCTATCGTTTTGACTACCCATTAAGATGGCTAAGAGACCCATCTGTCACAAAAGCTATTGGCTTTCGTAGAATGAAGTTTGTGTCTGTAGAAGATAAAAGTTTTCCATTTATTGTAAGGTTTCATATAGATTATATATCTGAAGGGAAACGAAAAATGTGGGAAGAAATTGAGCTAATACAAGTTGACCTTTCATCTTCTCTACAGACTGCGTTAAAAAATATAGAAGATAAAATAAATTCATGTTATGCAAAATATGCTGATGAATATGCAAATACCGAGAGCACACTTTATGTGAGAATTGTATATGACAAACAAAATTCACAAGTGTCATTTCAAATCTACGAAGACAATCCAAATAAAGACGAACAAATATATACAGAATTCACTGCAATGTCATGGTATTATTTGCAAAGAATGTTAAATCAGAAAGTCAAACTTCCTTTAGCAAATATTTACAGTCGATATGCAAGAGATGAACCATATTTATTTAAAGATGTTTTCGACCCAGCTGCTATTATTGTTCATGCTTCATTTTCTGGCGCCCAAAACTCTTTCTTATGCTTGGCAAATGACTTTTACGAAAAACCTACAAAGTTATACGAACCACCAAGTGGAAGTATTTCAGACTTTCAAGTATGGTTTACTACAGATGGAAGAAAAAGAATAATTCCATTATACCATGCGTTTTACTTAGAACTTAGTTTCATATACAACTACTATCGAACGGTAAAAATATAATTTTTTAATATACCGGTTGTGGTGTTGGATTTGGTTGCCAACTAGACTGTGGTGCAGGTTCAGGCTGTTGTATAACAGGAGCTTGTTCTTCTGGTTCAGGGTCTTTAGGTATAATACCAACAAACTGACCTACCCTTTTACCAATATTTTTGACACCGTTCCAAATTCCTCTTCCTACGGTTTTTATTCCATTCCATATACCTCTTCCAACATTTCGAAAGAAGTTTCCTATCTTACTGAAGAAACCCATTTTACTATATGTAAAAATCTAATGTCCGCCTAGTCTCTTACGTTTCCTGTTGAGTTCCATAGCATTCTTTAACTGGAGCTCATACATTCTGTTTCTCCTCTGGTAGAAAACATATTCTGGGTCAACTCCTGTGTTCGCGTCATCTGCATAAAGTTGTTTATATCCCACTTCAGGGTTTGTATAAAACTCTTTCCATCTCATATTTGCATACCATGGTGGCAAACCTAACGCAGCGTCATTTGACATGGCAGTTTGCATTTGTACATCTGTTGGCACTTGACCATAGTTTGCCATTGCAGTTTGTATTCTAACTTCATTTGGAATATTCTCTGGGTTTGGTTGTCCAGGTTGCTGTGCATTCGCTAAGTTCTGTGCGTCCATTTAATATTAGATAAAAATATCTCTTACGAGTACATATACTGAACATTTGCAGGCATTGGTTCATCTTCATATTCTCTGTACTTTTCTGCCACGTCAAATAAATAAATGACACAATGGAAAAAACCTAAAACAAGTAGTCCTATTTCAAACCACATTTACTTACTAATAAAATTTCTTTGTTATGACACTTTCTCCGGTTTATAGGACCTCTCTCATATTCTATCTTGTCATATCTAAACTCATAGTCATGTATGTCCTCTAACCATCTCATAACGGTTTCCAAACCACTTTTATCGGATGTAAAGTAAAAGCATGGATGGTTATGTAAAACGTCTAAAGTTTCTAAAGAGTCTCTCAAAGTCCAGTCTACTTGGTATTGAAAATCCCATGTGTTATAGAACGGCGGGTCCACTATAAAGAAAACATTTTCCTTGTCTTTATATTTTTCATACAACTCTGTCCAATAACATCTCACAAACTCTATACCCTCAATATATTTTTCTATGTCCTCTTTGAAAACATTTGTATAGTTAAGATATAAAACTTTTGACATAAGTGTTTCAATGTCATGAACTCTTATAGAACCACTATATAATAGTCTAGCAGATATACTATCCCAGTCTATATATTCTGCTTTTTTCAAAACCTCTCTCACAATATTTTTGTTATCTAATGGTATACGTTCCATCTTACCTATAGGTATCTTTTCTTTTAACTCTTTCAATATTTTGTTTGTGTCTGGAATATGTTTGAGACGGTCCATATAGTTGTCGAAGTCATTGCATATAATCTTTGAGTCTGGGAATATTGTATGACATAAATGGGATATATAGAAACTTCCACCGAACAAATCTACAAATGTTAGACCATTCGGTAGTTTCTTAAGTTCTCTCAATATAATATCTTTACATTTACTCTTATTTCCAAAGAACGGTAACGGTGGTTTTGTAAAATTCATTTATATATAATAATAAAAATGTTTTTTCCTTGAAAAGTGACAGAAAAGTGACAAAACATGAAAACATATATAATTTGTGAAAAGTGAAACATTATATAATGTTTTCGACCCAGAAGAAGGCTTCTTCCCAGAAGCAATGGAGGAAGAAGAAGAGTCCTCCGAATTCACACCAGAAGACTAACAATTTTCCGAATAAAAACTTCATTTATACTAAACATCTTCGGGGCTAGAGGGCACGAAGTGCCTGGAAGCCCCACTACCTTTTTTTTTGGTTTATGATGAGATAATTTCGATTTAAAAAAAAACACACATTGCATGAAGAATCAGAGAAGATTTTCTATCTTTCAATTTTTTAGACTTTTTGAAATTTGATAATAACTCTAAATTAAGCTGATAAACTCATAGAGCACATAAAATAACACATGTCTATCACATTTGAATTTTCTAAAAATCTCCAAAAAAATCGCGTTTTAAAAATTTCGTAGTTAAAAAGTAAATTTTTCACGATAAAAAACTATAATTGGTTTTTTTTGGAATTCTTCGAGTTAGAAAATCTTCTCTGATTCTTCATGCAATGTGTGTTTTCACGTTTCAAAGGCGGAAAACGCTTTTTTGGAATGCATTGATTCAGAATCACACGGAAAAATGAGTTTTTATTAAGAAAATAGACAATTCATGTAATAACAAAGCATACGATAGTATAAAAATCAAAACTATTTTCCCATAGGAAAACAAAAAATAACGTATATTTTTAGTGAGTAGGTATTCATCGAGCATACTCCCACTATAAACTATTTTCTAGTTTTCTGGCCGGCAAAGAGCCAGAGAATCACAACTACAACAAATTATGGTGAAGTTCTCTTGATTTTCCATATAATTTGAGAGAACATCCGAGAACTTCACCATAAACGAAATACAAACAGATTCCTTGTTTCTCTGCGGGCCAACAATCACATATACATTACCTTAGGGCAAAGTTCTTCCGAGGTTTCTCATCAAATGAGAAACTTGAGCAGAACTTTGCCCTATTCGAGTAAATTTACATTCTCTGACGTGAAGAGAGTCATAGAAATACACAAGTATTAACTTATGGTGAAGTTTTCTGGACTTCCTTCCTCATCTGAGAGACATCCAGATAACTTCATCATAAACGAATTACAGACAAGTTCTCTCGCTGTTTGCAGGACAAATACCACAAATTCATTACACTATTGAAGAGTTGTTCCGAGGTTTCTCATCGAATGAGAAACTTCGGAAAAAATTTGCTCTAGTGGAATAAATTTACCTCCCCTAACACACAAATGATCAGATATAACAAGCACAGATTTTTAAGGTATAGCTTTGTTGAAAACCTTTCAACGAATGAGAAAGTTAGGAAAAACTCTACCTTATAAGATCAACTATAGAATTCATAGCTCTTTGAATACTAGGAAACATTAATGCAGTAGTTTAAGGCAAAGTTTTTCCGAGATCTACGAAGGATAGAGAGATCTCGGAAGAACTTTGCTCTGCACAAGTAATTTCAGAATCTATGGTCCTCTAAGGACCAGAGGACGGTAATGTAAAAGAATGATGTCAATAGCAGATAAATAATAGCCTTAGAAGTTCAATACGTGCACAGTTTGACTACATTGCCCTAGTAGTTAGACTGTACAGGTATTGTACTTCTGGCCTAAAAAATCCTCATTGAAGACAATAGGTAGAAACTCAAATTGTTGATAAATATCCCAAAATATCATAAGAGAGCCCATTATTGTTACCTGGCTCCTTCCTGGCTTTCAAAGTCTGTAAACGAGAAGTCTTGGCTCTTGTGGTAATTGCTTCCAAGAGGTTTACTCAATTCGAGTAAAACTATAAACCCTGTAACTGACATGTACTTCCTTGAATGGGCATTAAAAGTAATTTAACCTAACGAATAGTAACATGACCACTATTTTGATGACTAAGAAATGTAATTCATCAAATTGGCAGTTCGATGAATGATACCATGCAATCAACAACTGGTTTGTTACAATTTGGCTTGATTCATCAAATTGGCGGTTTGATGAACCGAATATTGTAATCCAGACTAGGTCAGTTACAATTTGGCTTGATTCATCAAATTGGCGGTTTGATGAACCGAATATTGTAATCCAGACTAGGTCAGTTACAATTTGGCTTGATTCATCAAATTGGCGGTTTGATGAACCGAATATTGTAATCCAGACTAGGTCAGTTGCTTGTTGGTCATAGATAATAATGACACCTTTCAGTTTTTGTTAAACATCTCAATTATCCCGCCAAAAATTATTGGGTCTAAATTGGTTTTTATTATTATTATTTTCAGAAACAAACTAACTTGTTTTTTAGGAATTTATCATTCATAAAGTCTTTATGATATATTTTCAACTTATAATGAATATGAAATTATAATTGTTATTTTGAAAAAAAATTATTCATGATCAATTCATGATTTAACCAGTTCCTTCAAATTAGGAGAGCATATTCAAATATAATCGCTCATTAAAATCAATTTTTATGTTTTTTTTTAAATCGAAATTATCTCATCATAAACCATGCAAACTGACTATTTGTTCTTATCACCATGTTACCAATATCAGAATTGTCTTTACAGCCAAAATTTCGCTCGATAAAAGTCCATCCAATAGTGAGATAATTGAGCAACGAACATTTTTCCATATCACAAAAAACCTCCCCGTTTTTTTATACTATCAGTGTTTTGATCAAAGATTTAAAACATAGATTAGTTGTTTTTCAAAATATTCTCATTGAGTATGAGTTTAAAATGAGGAATTGAAATTGAATTGATTTCAATATCGGAAATCTTATGTGAACTATGAGCATACATCTACTCATTGTGGTAAAAGATACAAATGGTCAGTTCTAATATATAAAATTTTTGAAATAAAGATAAAAATTTAAGTAATTCTTATAGATTTGAGAACGTGATCATACTCAAAAACAGACAAAGCAAGAATAATATTAATTACAGTCTCGAATATAGTATCAAAGAAACTATTCCACATTGAAATTGAATTAAAGAAATTTATTGTGTTATTTGTTAATTCTCTGGCATGTGTCATTACAATCTCTCGATCATTATCTAATCATGAACTTATGTTGATTATAAACAAATATAATTGTGAAATTGAATATTCTTCTCAAAAATATGATGTTTGATCTAAATATTTAAAAATATTTATAATTTAGCAATGCACAAAAATGATTTTAATATATAAATATTGAAAGAAATTTAATTTGGATTTGTTTTCTTCTTTGAAAACAAAGATCCGACCATACCGAGACCAGCCAAAGCATGTTGGACGTTCAACTGTCTCTTCTGCTTTGCCTGCATGACCTCTTCTTTAGAAGGCATCGTAATATCGACGTGTGTACTCAAGAAATCGAGAGGACCATCGACACCCTGTATGAAAATGTTGGTGTTCTCTTCTAATTCCTCTTCCTTCTCTTGTACCATACGTCTGCCAGCCAATTCTTGATAAGGAATTGTCACTTTTTGTTCTGCAGAATCATAAGTGAATTTAGACAAAATTTGATCGAGTTGATCAGGCGGAATGAAACTTTCTGCTATAACTCTAAGCAAGGCGATTTCCTTCTGCATCTTCTTAATATGTTTAGACTGTTCTTCCTTCTCTGATTCGAACTGTGCCTGTATATCATCTATGTTTTGTTCCAAAGTTTTAATTAATGGTTCTAATTTCTTAATTGTTTCCTGTTTTTCTGTCAATTCATCTTTCATTGATGAATATTTCTTTTCGACTAAAAGGAGTTTGTCTTCTCTCTCCTTCCTCTTCTCTTCGAGTTGTCTTTGTATTTCAATCTGTTTCCTTTCTTCACTCTTTTGTCTTCTGATTTCTTCTTCTTGTTGCTTAGCTTTTGTAACTAAGTTTTCACCACCAATTAAAACAGATTGTTCCATTTGTTTAAGTTTTTGTTTGAGAGCTTCATTTTGTTCTTTAATCTGCTTCTGTTTTTCGTATTCGCCCTCCAAATCGTCTTTCATTTTACGTCTTTCTTCTTCTGTTATATTCTTCTTCGCCATCAACTCTTCCATCTTCTTTTTATGAGCTGCTTCAATAGCTTTCATCTCTGAATTGTCTGGAACAGGAATTCCACCATTGGCTTCTTGTTCAGCTAATTGTCTCTTGAGTTCTGCAATCTTGTCTCTTAATTGGCCGATCAAAGCGTCCTTAGGATCTTCATTGATTTTTGGAATGTTCTTGATATCTCTTGCTCTTGTAGCATAAAGTAATGTGGAGTTTGTTTCTTCATAGCTGTAGCTGGATGGACCAATTGTAGCACACATGCATGTCTTTGAGTTGCCACCAAGAGAATCTTGTAAAATCTGTGTAAGTTTTGAGTTTCTGTATGAAATATGGGTCTTGTTTGTGACAAGGGCGGAGATAACGTTACCTAATTCTAACAGTGATTGGTTGATTTTGGCACCTTGTTTAGCTGTCAAACCAGATGCTTCTGTTTTTGAGAGACGCTCTGAACCTGCAAGGTCGACAAGATGGAGTTTACCCATACGAGTACCACGGTCTTCACTATGCTGTTCAATAATGATGGAGAAAACTGAATGAGAACGAGATGAACCTGAATTCATACTTGTAGCAGCAACAACACGATTCTTTCTACCGGCAACGAGAACATCCATGATTTCTTGTGGAGATTTAACGATGTGTGTTGATAAGCCAACAACAGCAACATCATTATCAATATTTCTAACGTGAAGTTTCTTAGAAGGATCACCAAGAAGATCGAAAACGTTTTCCATATAGATTTGTAAGTATGATGCACGGACAAGAAATTCGCGATCTTTAACTGATGAAATGTAAGCAAAAATATGGTCAAATGCGTGTAAAGTAATACCTTTATCTTCTTCACTTGATATATCACCTTCCATTGTATATGTTTTACCAGTACCTGTTTGACCATAAGCGAAAATTGTACCATTAAATCCTTCTAAAACAGCATCGACAATAGGACGGGCGCAATCATCATAGATAAATTGTTGTGTAACATCTGGTGGATATGCTGAATTGAATTGGAATGTTTTTGGATTATTATCTTCTTGGTTTCGATATAATTGGACTTGTCCTGCTGATGGTAAAACTTTGACTATACTAAAATAACCTTTTTCTTGTTCGCCCTTACTGAGTGGTCTGCATCGTACCACGACTTTAATATTTTCGGCCTTTGCTTCACTCATGTATTTTTTATAAACGTGTATTCAAAATTTTTGATCAAAAGATAAAAAATTTTACCACTATGGTATCAATTAAAAGCTTAAATTATAAATGCTTGAAGATTTTGTTCAAAATTATCTGATTGAAATAAAGTCGAATGAACAAAATGAGAATGAAAATTAAAATAATTTAGAATTCAACAATAGCAGATAGCAATACAACTTAGTTTCCTGTTCAACAAGTCATGGTAGCTAGTAAACTAATAAAAAAAAGAGTTAAAGTAAAATGATATTAATTATTTTAAGAACAAACATAATATAAGCTGTAAAGTAATAAACTGGTAAATTGTGATGATACTATTTCTACGAATTTGAAGAAATTCTAATCAATGTAGCCAGAATTTAAATTCTATGAAATGCATAAGTTTTGAAGCAATTATTTTCTGTAATATTTAACAATAAAAGCAACAATCAGTAAAACTATGCCAATTAGCACGAAATGTGGATTGGAATCAGCTTTTGATGTCAAAACTTGTAAATTGGCTTTTTCTCGTGCAATTTCTCTTTCAAGATTTCGTATTTTCGTTGTAAGTTGATTTCTTTGGTTCTTCTTTTCAATTATTTTTCTTTGAAGCATTTCGCGTTGTTCTCCATCAATATCTCTACGTTCTGATCGTTGTAATACCTGACTTAATGATGGTTTTGATTTAATTGAAAAGGCTACAGATCTTAGTGCATCTTCGGCATGAGTTGAAAATTTAATGAGGCATTTAACCATGTTTGGCCATGTTTTAGAAAGGGCTACAATTTCTGCTAAATTTGTTACTTCAGTTGGAGAAACTGATGTAAATCTTACTAAAAAAGACAATTCTTCATTATCACGTATTGTATCTTCAAAAGAAAACTTTAATGTTCTTGATTCTCCTGGAATAAGCTCTCCACAAGCTGGAGAAATTCCACAAAATATTTCTGTGTTAAATTCAACACTGAAAATGCATTTGTTTGAGCCATTGTTTTTAATGTCTACAGTTCCATTATTATGGATATGGCCAGTTTTGCTGACAATAACAGGATTAGGCTCAACGCTTAAAATCATTTTCACTTTTTATGAGGAAAAAAAATCATCGACAGCAAATTGATTAATAGTTGAACTGCATTCAGATCATAAATTCTTAGTTTATTAAAAATTGATGCAAAGCATCCTCTAAAAAGTCTTTCCATAAAAATTTATTGACGATTCTGTCATAAAAACCAATATTTTTCATAGTTAAAAAAAAAAAAAAGGTAGTGGGGCTTCCAGGCACTTCGTGCCCTCTAGCCCCGAAGATGTTTAGTATAAATGAAGTTTTTATTCGGAAAATTGTTAGTCTTCTGGTGTGAATTCGGAGGACTCTTCTTCTTCCTCCATTGCTTCTGGGAAGAAGCCTTCTTCTGGGTCGAAAACATTATATAATGTGTCGCTTTTCACAAATTATATATGTTTTCATGTTTTGTCACTTTTCTGTCACTTTTCAGGGAAAAAACATTTTTATTATTATATATAAATGAATTTTACAAAACCACCGTTACCGTTCTTTGGAAATAAGAGTAAATGTAAAGATATTATATTGAGAGAACTTAAGAAACTACCGAATGGTCTAACATTTGTAGATTTGTTCGGTGGAAGTTTCTATATATCCCATTTGTGCCATACAATATTCCCTGACTCAAAGATTATATGCAATGACTTCGACAACTATATGGACCGTCTCAAACATATTCCAGACACAAACAATATATTGAAAGAGTTAAAAGAAAAGATACCTATAGGTAAGATGGAACGTATACCATTAGATAAGAAAAATATTGTGAGAGAGGTTTTGAAAAAAGCAGAATATATAGACTGGGATAGTATATCTGCTAGACTATTATATAGTGGTGCTATAAGAGTTCATGACATTGAAACACTTATGTCAAAAGTTTTATATCTTAACTATACAAATGTTTTCAAAGAGGACATAGAAAAATATATTGAGGGTATAGAGTTTGTGAGATGTCATTGGACAGAGTTGTATGAAAAATATAAAGACAAGGAAAATGTTTTCTTTATAGTGGACCCGCCGTTCTTTAACACATGGGATTTTCAATACCAAGTAGACTGGACTTTGAGAGACTCTTTAGAAACTTTAGACGTTTTACATAACCATCCATGCTTTTACTTTACATCCGATAAAAGTGGTTTAGAAAGTGTCATGAAATTGTTAGAGGACATACATGACTATGAGTTTAGATATGACAAGATAGAATATGAGAGAGGTCCTATAAACCGGAGAAAGTGTCATAACAAAGAAATTTTATTAGTAAGTAAATGTGGTTTGAAATAGGACTACTTGTTTTAGGTTTTTTCCATTGTGTCATTTATTTCTTTGACGTGGCAGAAAGATATAGAGAATATGAAGATGAACCAATGCCTGCAAATGTTCAGTATATGTACTCGTAAGAGATATTTTTATCTAATATTAAATGGACGCACAGAACTTAGCGAATGCACAGCAACCTGGACAACCAAACCCAGAGAATATTCCAAATGAAGTTAGAATACAAACTGCAATGGCAAACTATGGTCAAGTGCCAACAGATGTACAAATGCAAACTGCCATGTCAAATGACGCTGCGTTAGGTTTGCCACCATGGTATGCAAATATGAGATGGAAAGAGTTTTATACAAACCCTGAAGTGGGATATAAACAACTTTATGCAGATGACGCGAACACAGGAGTTGACCCAGAATATGTTTTCTACCAGAGGAGAAACAGAATGTATGAGCTCCAGTTAAAGAATGCTATGGAACTCAACAGGAAACGTAAGAGACTAGGCGGACATTAGATTTTTACATATAGTAAAATGGGTTTCTTTGGAAGAATAGGAAACTTCTTTCGAAATGTTGGAAGAGGTATATGGAATGGAATAAAATCTGTCGGAAGAGGAATTTGGAACGGAGTCAAAAATATTGGTAAAAGAGTAGGTCAGTTTGTTGGTATTATACCTAAAGACCCTGAACCAGAAGAACAAGCTCCTGTTATACAACAGCCTGAACCTGCACCACAGTCAAGTTGGCAACCAAATCCAACACCTCAACCGTATTAAAAAATTATATTTTTACCGTTCGATAGTAGTTGTATATGAAACTAAGTTCTAAGTAAAACGCATGGTATAATGGAATTATTCTTTTTCTTCCATCTGTAGTAAACCATACTTGAAAGTCTGAAATACTTCCACTTGGTGGTTCGTATAACTTTGTAGGTTTTTCGTAAAAGTCATTTGCCAAGCATAAGAAAGAGTTTTGGGCGCCAGAAAATGAAGCATGAACAATAATAGCAGCTGGGTCGAAAACATTTTCATATGTTCCATTAGGGTTTTCGACTTCATAAAAATCTGGGTGTACTGGATATGCTGCAGGCTGATTTAACATCCTCATAAATCTATACCATGCCAAGTTGTTATATTTTGTAGAAATATAAACGTTTTCTCCAAGGTCTTCTATTCTATTGATTTTAACAGTTGCATTTTTCCTGTCATAAATAATATCGAGATGGTACTCTCCCTCGTCAATGTTATACTGGTTTGCATATTCGATATAGATATCGTTTATTTTTTCTTGAAAAGCTTGAAGAGTTGTTTCTAAGTTTACAAGCAAACTAACTTGTAAAAGTTTTCCCTGTTCAAATTTCTCATACATACGTTTTTCTTTGTTATAGTATCGAACTTCAAAACCGACCGTAAATGGGAAACCATGTATGGCTTCTGAAATGAACTTCATTCTACGAAAGCCAATAGCTTTTGTGACGGATGGGTCTCTTAGCCATCTTAATGGGTAGTCAAAACGATAGCCTTCATGCTTTACGGTCTCTGTCTCAAACTTTTGACCGACATTAGTAAAAAGTTCATCTAATGGTTTAGTTGTAGCAACTCTTGAATTTTCTTTTTCTATTGAAAGCATATTTTATCTAGAATAAAAATGTCAAATGAAACAGCGTCTATGAGAGAAATACAACACAACCGACAACTCATTATGCAAGCTCTAAATAAGAACACAACAAACTTTTCAAACTATTCTAAGATATCTGAGTCATTGAAAGAAGGAAACTTAAAACTGACATTAAACCCAATGACAGATGAGTTTCTGTTTCAAGACAAGAAGAACAATACTGTCTGTATAAATCCAACAAAAGGAACTTTAAACGAGAAACCTATAAATGAACTTCTTTTGAAGGCAGATGTTGACAACAAAGCTGACAAAGAATATGTAGACGATGCAATAGCAAAAGAAGAAGAAAGAGCTAACAATGCTTATGCAACAAAAGAACATACTCATCCTGAACTAGCAGACAAAACATATGTTGACAATAAAATGTCAAGTGAAGTGACAAGAGCTGAAAACGAATATTCTAAAAAGACTCATACACATTCTATATCTGAAATAACAGACTTAAACGTTAGCCTTGAAAATAAAGCAGATAAGGAATATGTGGCTAGTAAGTTAGAGAAGAAAGCGGATAAGGAATATGTGGATGAAAAAGATAATGAAATGAAAGAAAGGGTTGACTGGTACCATGAATGGACATCGAAGATTTTAAAAACTAAAGCCGATACAGGATGGGTTTCAGGATGTTTAGACCTTAAAGCAGATAAAACTTATGTTAACGATGAGTTAGAGAAGAAAGCAAATAAGAACCATACACATACAAGTTTTACAACTGTTGCTATAGAAAGTATTGAAGGAACGGTTGAAGAAACTGGTGGGGATGCATTATATTGTAAACCTCCTAACTTTCCACAAGGTTTAACATCGGATGACGACATAACGACGATGAGAAACATTAGATGTAAAGATGTTTATGTCATGAAGGATGAACATAATATTAAATTCACTGCTCAAGATTTATATGACAAGAAAGCAGACAAAACAGAGCTTCAAACATTAAAGACAGAAATACTTCAAACATTATATCCTATAGGCTCTATTTATACGTCAATGAACTCTACCAGACCAGAAACAGTTCTGGGTTTTGGAACTTGGACTCAAATAGTCGACAGGTTTTTGTATTGTGCAAACTCTTCAAAGGAAACAGGTGGAAGTAAAACGATTTCAGGTGAAAATTTACCTGCACACAGTCACTACATAGATTTAAGTACATCTCAAGCAGGTTGGCATAAGCATAGATATTGGGATTGGTCAGCAATGACAAAAGGTAAAGGATATGATGTTAAAGACAACGTTAAGTTTGCTATAAATTGTTACTGGAGTAACACTGAGGGAGGAGGAAACCATACACATCGCGTTTCGGGATATACGCAAACAACGGGACAAAGTAAAGAATACATGCCACCTTACATGACAGTTTACGCATGGTATAGAAATGCTTAGTCGTCATTTTCAACTTCTTTAGCATATTCGTCAGGAGTTGTCTTATATTTGTTAGGAACTGTCTTTGAAAGTATACCACCTTGAACTTTGACAAGTTTGAAACGAGGTCTGACAATAGTAGTTTTATCTTTCTGCTTGCAGTGTGTACATTTGCCATGTTTGCCTAAAACTTCATAATATTCTCTTGTATACTTTCTTCTATTTTTACGAAACACGAATGTGAGTACCTGTCGGGTTCCCATTGTTGTCATAGTCAATAGTATTTTCATATGGGTCGCGTTTAGGTATTTCTATTTTTACTTTGTCGCCTTTCTGAAGTTTGAAGCCCGGCATTCTTTCTTGTTTGTCTCTTTTGACTAAATTATTAAATATATAGTCTTTCTCTAAGTCAGGGTTGTTTTTCATTTCTTCGGGGAGTGGTTTCCCAAACCTTTTTGTTTACGGTTATTGTAAATATTTAAAACTTGTCTCATCTTTGCCATGGAGAAGTGTCTATATTGTCGTCATATGACATTTATTTGCTTCACCACCTTGTGGTTGGTTTAAGTCTCTTAACATTTTTATACAACGCGTCAATGACACCAAGAGCAGAAATGGTTTTGGTCGACAATGAAATATTGGTTTACATTTTTTGAACGCAGATAGTTTTTTATATCATCTGATTTGAAAGAACTTTCACAGTCAGATGTCAGTTTTGTTGGATGGTATTTGTCAACGAATATTGTCAAAGCAGTTTTCACATCTAAAATATTTTTGGACCATAATGGTATGGCTTCACAGTATCTTGTGTTTTGACCGACAATATTAGCCAGTATGGTGGTCCATCTTCTCTATACCTCGGAATGTTTTCCAAGATATCCATAAACCAAGCATTTGGTGTTGAACTAAAGATTTTTACCATGAGTGCTTCTTTGTTGCGCTTAGAAACATAGGGGTCCTTGTTTGGATTCGTCATTTTTTAACCCATAAGAAATGGGTTTATTTGGCGCATTAGCAGGAGTTGCATCCAGATTTTTGCCCGCAGTGGGAACAATAGCCAGAGGTGTATTTGGAGTTGGAAGGAAGATTTTGAGTACATTAGGTATACTTAAAGAGAAAGCACAACCTATTATACAAACTGTACAGAAAGGTTGGGATGTAGCACGAGATGCAACAAATCTTATTCCAAATCCTGAAACAAGAGGAAAAGTTCAAGGATGGATGGACAATGTAGGAAGACAAGCAGGAAACTATTATAACAAAGCAAATGACTACTATAACCAAGCAGGACACTATATGGACCAAGGTGAAAGATTCTTTAACAGAGGATATAACCATGCACAACAGTGGGTAAACAATAACCAACCTCAACCGCCTCAAACGTGGGGAATGTAAAATTTTTTACTGAGATGAAATGAACAATACAGCATTGAGACAAATAAGTTCAAGATGGATTTGTCGGCTTCCAGCAGTTACACCACGTGTTTGTCAAGTTCTTCTATACCTCAGGAAGTTTTAGACCGACTTAAAAAACAACAACAACAGTTGAAAACAAACCAAACTAAAATTTTTTTCTGAGATGAAATGACCGAAGAAGTTGAAACGGTAGATTTGACACCACAAACAAAAAGTTCAGAACCATTGTCAAAACCTGTCAAAGAACTTACAGATGAAGAGAAAAATTCAATAATAGAAAGTGCCAGGTCTGGAAATACAAACCCTAACTATAAAGTCACTTTCATAAAAATGGAACGGCAAGTATCTCAAAAAAGAAACAGACTCTCACAAATAAAATATTGAAGTCTGAAGGAGCTTTCGAGACAACAGATGGAAAAAGTTTACTTCACTGACCAACAGTTCATTATAGAACATCTCATTGACTTAGAGTCGAAATATTCTAAACTTTACAACAAACACAAAAAGTTGAAAGGAAAACAAAAACAAATGGCATATGATATTTATGAAGATGTTGACGACACAACTGTTCCTGCAAGTGAAGTAAAGTCAGAGAAACCGAAAAGTGACGAAAAACCGATAGAAGAAGAAAAACCAAAAACTGAAGATAAACCAAAACCAAAGTTTAGTTTGGAAACTAAACCAAGTCAACCTTCATTAGCTGGTATGGGTTGGCGTCAAAGACTTATGGCAGCAGGCGGTTATGTAAAGTAAAGAAAAAAATATTTTTTTCTTTTTATAAAATGCCCCCATATAGAATGGATAGAAAGTCTGCTAGAATAAAAGCAGAGTTGCAAAGATATGGTTGGAGAGTTTCGAAGAAGTTTAAAATATAGGAAGGGAAGACCCATAAAAGTCTATGACAAATTGTCTGGTCTTCGCTACGAAATGGATTTGGAAACAGCACGTGCAAATTATCCAAACAGACTAGAGAGGTTAGAAGAAGAACGTCTTATGGACATGCCTTTCGATGTTAGTGAACATTGCATGAAGTAAAAATTTATTTTTAAAAAAGTGACATTTTTTTAATTTTATTTGAAATGTACGCTGAGTTTGTTGGAGAAGACCGTTGGGAAACTTGTTTGTTAGATGAGAAATATGAAATGGCATACCATTTTAAAACAATATATTTTTACATATATTAAATGCTTCAGGTTGAAAAACAAAGAACAAAAGTAGCAGATACAAAACCGTTAGACTATATCTTTACAAATGCTGGTAGGACTATTTCAGATGAAGAAATTTCATCCCGAGCATACAGGTTTGACTATCCAATTCGTTGGCTTCAAAGTCCTTCAGATGCAAAGGCAATAGGATTTAGAAGAGTTTTGTTTTCAAATAGAACTAACGCATTTATGTTCGCAGTATATTTTATGGGCAGTATAAAGGTTCTGATGGTCTAATAGACAAATTTGACGAAATGAGAATCTTTACAGTTCGTTCAGACGAAAGTCTTGAGAAAACTCTAAATGACTTTCAAACTCAAATGAACAAATATTATTGGGAATTTCAAGAAAAATACGACTCTTTACTAAATGGAACATACTATCTGAAACTAGAATATGACAAGATGAAACTCCACCGTTTCATTTCAAAAGATTGAAATTAACCCTCCAAGAGATACAGAGTTTTTATTTTGGAAAGTAGACAAACGTTCTTGGGCACAATTTCTTCGGTTACTAAACCAGAACGAACCATTACCACCAGATGGTCCATTTAAATTTATACTTCCACCAGCAGATTTGACAGTTTATAGAAACGTGTTTGACCCTCAAAATGTTATGTGTCATGCAAGTTTCAGTTCAAGCAACAATAGTTTTCTATGTATTGGTAAGGACTTTTATGACTTTGCTTCTAAATTCTACGAACCACCTAGTAACAGTTTCTCTGACTTTCAAGTTTGGTTCACAACAAATGGTGTGCAACATATTATTCCATTGTACTATGACTTTTATCTCGAATTGTCTTTCATATATAACTACGGAAAAGTGCTGAAAAAGTATTGAAAAATAATGTTTATGTTAGCATGTTAGATCTAACACGTTTTCTAACCACTTTTCTAACATCGTAGAAAACTCATGAAAACAATTTATTTTAAAACTTTCACAAAAAACATAAAAAAGTGAAGTTAAACGTTAAGGTTTACTGAACTGGTTGGATGTCGCCTTCACAGGTTATGAAGAACGGTTGTCCTGAGAAGTGGAACAGTGCTCTGAGAATTTGTATAATTCGTGGAATTGGACTCTCTCTGTTTGGAAGTTGTATCCATGGGCGCTTTGCAAAGAACTTGAGAAGAGCTTCTTTCTTTGCTTGCTTTATGCCATCGTAGGCTGTCCCGTCTGGTATTTGAATTGGAATTCCAGTCGAAGTCTCGAGATTCAAGGCAGCCCTTCCAGAAATAGTGGTGAACTTGACCTTGGGCTTCATGACCTTGCGCAAGTAGTCTTTTACGCAGTTGTTAATTTCAATTAGGTAAATTGCCTCGTCAAGTCTTTCTTGCATTCCAAGTTCTTCCATCCGACAGGAAAATATTTTCCCGACAACTGGAAAAAATTTTCCGGACAAAGGAAAAAATTTTTCCTTCCGACAGGAAAAAATTTTCCAGTTGTCCGTCCGTAAACCATTCAAATTTTCGAAAATTGAGAACTTTTTGGTCGAACTTCAGAAAAAATTTTTCCTTCCGACAGAAAAAGTTTTTCCTTCCGACAGAAAAAGTTTTTCCTTCCGACAGAAAAAGTTTTTCCTTCCGACAGAAAAAGTTCTTCCTTCCGACAGGAAAGGTTTTTCCTTCCGACAGGACACAAACGAATGTCCGACGTCCCACCAACCGAGTCCATTCCCGAACCAGAGGAACCTAAAGAACCACAACAGTCTCCTCAGCAACCTCAGTTCCAGCAAGTACCTCCGAATTTCTACCAATTTCCACCTCAAGGTTACTACCCACCACAAGGCTTCCCGAACTACCCTCCTCAGCCTATGCCTTACTGCCCCAACCCTTGGATGTTCCAGCAAGCTCCACCCCAGCAATTCCAATCTCAATCCAAATCGAAGAGAGACCAAGAGTTCGAAGAAGGTCTGAACCGTTTACGCAAAGAGTATGCCCCAGCTCCAATTGAGAGAAAGTTGTTCCCGGACCAAAAAGAAAGTTTATGTTAGAATGTTAGATCTAACACGTTTTCTAACACGTTTTCTAACCTCATGAATTTGTCAAGACTTCTTCGTAAATGTTTTGTCATGACTTCTTCGTAAATGTTTTGTCAAGACTTCTTCGTAATGAGTGTAAAGGACCCAAAAATAAAGTTTATGTTAGAATGTTAGATCTAACACGTTTTCTAACACGTTTTCTAACCTCATGAATTTTCATGAATTTCCTTAAGATAGAAAAAATAAAGTTAGTTTTATTTTGTATTTTTTTGTATGTAAGATATGATTTCAGGGATTTTTTTGACGAAGTGTCAACCTTCACTTCGTCAAAAAATAACAGTTATCTAATGAAAAAGTGTCATTTTTTTGTATTTTTTTGTATGTAAGATATGATTTCAGGGATTTTTTTGACGAAGTGCAAACGTTCACTTCGTCAAAAAATAACAGTTATCTAATGAAAAAGTGTCATTTTTTTCATTTTTTTGTATTTGACGAGAATGTCGGGTAGATGGTTAGATCTAACACGTTTTCTAACACGTTTTCTAACCTCTTGAATTTTCATGACTTCTTCATCGTAATGAGCGTAAATGTTTTGTCATGATTTCATCGTAAATGTTTTGTCAAGACTTCTTCGTATATGTTTTGTCATGACTTCATCGTACATGTTTTGTCAAGACTTCTTCATCGTAATAAGCGTAAATGTTTTGTCAAGACTTCTTCGTATATGTTTTGTCATGACTTCATCGTACATGTTTTGTCAAGACTTCTTCATCGTAATGAGCGTAAATGTTTTGTCAAGACTTCTTCGTAATGAGTGTAAAGGACCCAAAAATAAAGTTTATGTTAGAATGTTAGATCTCACCTGTTTTCTAACACGTTTTCTAACATGGTCTAAAACTCTTGAATTTTCATGACTTCTTCGTAAATGTTTTGTCAAGACTTCTTCGTAAATGTTTTTTCACCTCTTTTTTCACCTCTTGAATTTTCATGACTTCTTCGTAAATGTTTTGTCAAGACTTCTTCGTAATGAGTGTAAAGGACCCAAAAATAAAGTTTATGTTAGAATGTTAGATCTAACACGTTTTCTAACACGTTTTCTAACCTCATTTCTACCCTCTTGAATTTTCATGACTTCTTCGTAAATGTTTTGTCAAGACTTCTTCGTAAATGTTTTTTCACCTCTTTTTTCACCTCTTGAATTTTCATGACTTCTTCGTAAATGTTTTGTCAAGACTTCTTCGTAATGAGTGTAAAGGACCCAAAAATAAAGTTTATGTTAGAATGTTAGATCTAACACGTTTTCTAACATGGTCTAAAACTCTTGAATTTTCATGAATTTTCCCGAAATAAAAAATAAAGTTAGTTTTATTTTTTTATTTTTTTTATTTTGTATAAAAGATATGATTTCAACAATAGGTTCTACAACAATTCAAACAACAGCACCAAACTCGTTAGTCATGAATCCAACATCTATGTTAGTAGAGATGAAAAGCTTCATTCCTTCTTCATATACTTTCGAAACAAAAATCCAGAAGATAAAGCAAGAACTGTTAACAAGTAATTTAGACTGTAGTGCGAAAGATGAAACAAATGAACAGTATCTTTATGAAATGCAGGACATTATTGACCATTTACCTAAACTACCTGAAATCCAACAACAAAAGCTCACTATTCCTGAATTCGACGAAATAGAAGTCAAAGCAACTGACTCAGTAGAAATAAAGAAGTTCATACGAAAGGTAAACTATGAGTTTCTAGGATTTCATTGCAACCATAAGGTTATGGACAAAGATTGCGACATGGTATATAAGAACATCTCTGACATATATAAATCGGAGGAGTTAAAGACATACGACAACTTTGTTTCATTAGTTGCAGAATGTGTATGGCAGATAAGAGATGAAGATAGAAGAGGTAAAGTATGGAATAAACAGATAAAACCAGCAGCTTTTGAGTTAAAGAAAACCATTGACGCCTTAGTTGTTCTAGCAGGTAAGGTTTCAGAATATAACGCAAAAACGATGCCGCGATGTTCTAAATGTAAGGCAGCAATGAGGAGATATAACTACTCCGTCAAAGAGATAGAACGTATGAGAAACGACTATGCTGACTTAAAGAAAGAAGCAGAGAAACCAGCAGAAAATAAAATGGACATGTTAGCATTTCTGAACAAAAACTATCCAACTGCTGACGATTTCCTTCTATCTGACGTCAAGAAGAAGTATAAAGAAACCTTCGGCATTGTTAAAACTTTTGATATCCTCAGCAAAGAAATAGAAGCTACGAAGCTGTTTAAAGTCATGAACCATCGCAACATATACCATGTAAAACGCTTGTAAATAGTTATGTTAGAAAAGTGGTTAGAAAACGTGTTAGATCTAACATGCTAACATAAACATTATTTTTGTCTGATTTACGCTCATTACGATGAAGAAGTCTTGACAAAACATTTACGAAGAAGTTTTGACAAAACTTGTACGAAGAAGTCTTGACAAAACATTTACGAAGAAATCATGAAAATTCATGAGGTGAGAAAAGAGGTTAGAAAACGTGTTAGATCTCACCACTTCACCTAAACTTTATTTTTGTCTGATTTACGCTCATTACGAAGAAGTCTTGACAAAACATTTACGAAGAAGTCTTGACAAAACATGTACGAAGAAGTCTTGACAAAACATGTACGAAGAAGTCTTGACAAAACGTGTACGAAGAAGTTTTGACAAAACATTTACGATGAAATCATGAAAATTCATGAGGTGAGAAAAGAGGTTAGAAAACGTGTTAGATCTAACATGCTAACATAAACTTTATTTTTTCTATCTTAAGGAAATTCACGAAAATTCATGAGTTTTGTGTGTTTTAGACCATGTTAGAAAAGTGGTTAGAAAACGTGTTAGATCTAACATGCTAACATAAACATTATTTTTACTGAAAAATGACCAAAAATCATGAGTTTTGTGTGTTTTAGACCATGTTAGAAAAGTGGTTAGAAAACGTGTTAGATCTAACATGCTAACATAAACTTTATTTTTACTGAATTCCGTATGAAATTTCATGATTTTCGAGAGTTTTAGACCATGTTAGAAAAGTGGTTAGAAAACGTGTTAGATCTAACCATCTACCCGACATTCTCGTCAAATGAAAAAAATGAAAAAAAATGACACTTTTTCATTATATAACTGTTATTTTTTGACGAAGTGAAGGTTGACACTTCGTCAAAAAAATCCCTGAAATCATGTCTTTACATACAAAATAAATGAAATAAAACTAACTTTATTTTTTATTTCGGGAAAATTCATGAAAATTCAAGAGGTGAAAAAACAGGTGAGAAAACAGGTTAGATCTAACCTTCTACCCTAAAATATATTTTTGCTGAATTCAGCACAAAATTCTGAGTAAAATGGCATAAGATTGCTTCCCTCGGAAAACCGAGAGAAGAGATTCCGTACGAAAACAGTGAAGAACAGCGAGTAGGTAAGAAACCTTAGTCGCCAAAACTCTATGAAAACAGTGAATTTCCTTAAGATAGAAAAAATAACGCTAATTTTTTCTAACAAATTTTTTTATTTTGTATGTAAAGACAGATATGTCAACAACAGAGAACACAACAACAGTTATAGTCCATGAAGCTATAAATGAAGAATATGAGTACATACAGTTTAACAAACAACTCCGTCTCATTCGTTCGGTCAAAGACGATATGTACCAGATGCAAAGTATTTTGACAGCATGTTTTGCTCCAGATACCAAACATACAGACGATTGGTTCAAAAACCAAAGCACACAAGAACTTTTGAGCGAAGCACAGCGAGACCGACTTCTTTCGGGGTCGCCTAAAACTCATGAAAATCGTAAAAATTTGCCAAATGGTTTGAGAGGTTGGTATGTACATAGACTTCTTGTAAATGCTGTTGCAATGTGGGCTTCGCCTCGTTATGCTTGGAATATATACAGACTTCTTGACGAAATTCATAGACAAGAACGTGAAGAGCTAGAGAACAAGCTTGAAGCAAAAGATGAAGTCATTCAGAAAAGAATACCACGTTCGGTACCAAAAGGAAAGGAAAAGAACTATAAGTATATGATTTATACTGAAGAGTTGGAGAAAGAAGAAGATAAAGATATGGTTATGTTGCATTTAGTCAGAAGAAACAACAAAAGCTTTTACGACCTTGCTAAGATTTACAAATCTGACAGAAATTGGTTCTATCGCGAAAACTTACCGATTTCAATGACACCGAATGAAGATGTGAAACAAATAGTTCAAGATACGTTACCTCAAACACACTATGATATTAAAGGTTGTACAATACTTACATTCAAAGAAGATTTGTCATTGTTAAAGGAAAAAATAACAGAGTATTTTGACAACTTCAAACAAGTAGGGTAGATGAACCATTTATTTTTCAAGCTTGACTTTTTACAATTTGAACTTTGTTTGCGTAGATATGAATTCTGAAAGAAGTATGAGGGTCTTGTATGACTTTATACTTCTCCCAGAGTTCATGTCTGTCAAACTTACCTGCCATGGACTCTTTCATAAGTTCCATGAAATCGTCTTCGGACAATCCGGGGAAAAGTATAATGTCAGTAAGTATTCTCTTTACATCCTTACTTAAACTCTTTGCTGTCTGTACACATATTACGACTGAGATGTTAAAGTGTCTGAGCTTCTTAAGAATTCGACACATATCTTGTTCTCTATTCTTAAGCAAAGGATGAGAAGCAAAGTCATCTAAGATAAGAAGACACCTATGAGGGTATGTCTTCCAATCGTAAGATTGCAATTTCTTCGAAATGTATTCTATCTCTTTCTGTTTGTTTCTGAAGTGTTTCTTCTCTAATATTCTCTGCATTTCCTCATTTGGGTCTTTAAACTTAGAATTTATAATACTCATTTATAGCATTATACTTCAAAACTCTTCTTTGGTACTTCTTTATCCAATCTAACAACTCAGAGTCTTTTATACATACTAACTTAGACTTCTTTATAATATCTTTGAACGAATTGACGGTTTGGTCAAATTGACCAGAAGTACTACAAATGACAACTAACTCATAGAATGGGTTCTTCTCATCTAGTTCTTGTTGTTGTGCAGCCATTTTAAGATAAGTGAAAGTCTTACCAGACCCAGGTGGTGCAATTAGACCTGTTATACCATTCTGAGCAAATAAGAACTTGTCATGTATAGGCTTTATCTGAGCATTTTCTAACTTCCTCTTGTTCTTGTTTAAAACATTCTCAAATTTCTTGTCAATGTCAGCAAACTTTTTTTTCTAACATATTTTTAGAAAAATTAAAATTTTTATCTTTTAGAAAATGTCTAGCGATTTCGCTATCTATATTCGAGACAAGCTTTTCGACAGCAAAACATCTGTCGACCATAAAATCTTACATAGTGTAAACAAGAAAGGTGAATTTGTTCTAAAGTTCTGTTTCTGGGAATATGACAAGAACCATAAAAACATTACAAAGAGCAGTCTTAAAATTTGTCAATGACAGACTTGTTGACAGAGATGACACCGATTGGAAAGATGAAGTCCAACAAAAGTTCTTAGAATGCAAAGAAGACACATGCGCTGTTCTTGAAGATGAAATAGAAAACAGAATAGAAGAGCTATTAAAGGACAAAGAACTTTTACATAAATATAGTTGCGCCAAATTTGACATAACTCCACCAGAAAAGAAGAAGAGAGAAAAGAAAGAGAAAAAAGAAGAAGAGAAGAAAGAACCTGAACCAGTTCCAGAGAAAAAGAAATTTGACATGTAAAAATAAAATTTTATTTTTAGAATATTTCTGGGTCAATGTCAATGTTCTCTTCCTCTTTAGGAGTAAACACTGGCTTAGACTCTAAAATCTTTTTACCCAATTTACCTTGAACTTCTACAACTTTAGACTCATAATATTCATAGTCGTCTGCTTTCTTTGGTTCATAAGGTATAACAAGTTTGTATGCTTTGCCTTCTTTAAGGTTTGAGAACCTTCTGTCAAAACTTTCTTTGACTGCTAACAAACCTTCTATGTCTAAGTCTTCAAATTTCGCACCATTTTTAGTCACGACAGCAAACTTAACTGGTTCGATGTTCCAAACTTTGCTGAATGAAGACTTTTCAAAATGGTAGAAGTAAACATTCAAATATGTGAATGGGTCTAGTTCTTCTTTAAGTCCTGACATGTACTTGTTTACTGAGATGAATTTTGCCATCTTTTTCTATCGGATAAAAAAAATATTTTTTTTAAATTTACTCATAAAAATTTTTCTTTGTATATACACCATTCTGTACGTCTAAAAGACTTTTGACATTTGCCAAGAATGTTCGTTTAGACGCTGTCATATAACCATATTCTTGACAATATTGTTTATACGAATCGTACAATGACCTTTCATCTAAACACTCAAAGTCAGTTTCATCTATGAACAGTTCATATACACTCTTGTTTGCTTCTAACAATGTTTGTCTCTCTTCGGTATGTGGAATTTGTCTTGGATTGAACTTTGAAATATCTAATGTCATAAAATATGAGAACAAGTGGTTGTAAAAGTCAGATGTCAAACTTTCTGCTAAGTCGTCAAAATATTCTGTATCTTGCATATGAGCTTCTGACGTTCTGACAACTACATATCTTCTGTCAGAACTTTCTAACTTCATCGGAACAGCATTGTTTGAAACCATAATGAAGTTTGCAACATTTTCACAAACTCTTTGGTCTTTATATTTTCTTTCAACAACTCCAACTTTGTCTGTTATAAGACTCTTCAAAGCATCTGAGTTCAAAACTTTTGTTGTATCTATACTTTGAAGTTCATTGCAAACTATAAGTTTCATATTCTCTATTGAGGAGTTAAACTTGCCACAGATGTTTTCTAAGTTTGTCATATTCGGATTCGAATAGCCCTCTAACAGTTTGCATAAGATATCTGTAAAGAATGTGTTCTTACCAGTTCCTTGTTTTCCAATTATAATGAGAGCAGTTTCATTTTTAGCACTTGGATGTTGTAAGATGTTTGCAAACCAACATAAGATATACTCATAGACTCTTTCGTTTCCATTGCATATAATTTCTTTGACATGGTCTAACCAAGCTTCTATAATATTTTCTTTCCATTCTACTTGTTCGTATTTATATCCAGTGAAGATAGAATAGAAGTTTGGAGAAGGTGTATAGAACTTTATACCTCGAACTGAAAAATCTTCTAACTTTGACAATAAGATATCCCAAGCATCTAACATCTTCATTCCAACTTGTACGACTTTTATTTTCTTAAGTTTCTGTCTACATTCTTGTTCAGACACTATTGTTGCTCTTGGTTTGTTAAAGACAACATCCCATTCTTTCATGACATAACATTCTGGGGCAGAGTCAACATAAATGACTAAACGTTTCAAATTCTCGACTGCTTTGTTATAGTCTCTAAATGGACACATATTTCTGAATGCTTGGAAGTCATAAAAATCTGAAACATCTATTCTGTACATTTTTATAAAAATAAAAAAAAATATTTTTTTTATTCTTGACTTTGTTGTTGCATTTGTTGTTCTTGAGCTATTTGTTGTTGAAGTTGTTCTTGTAATACAATACTTTCACCAGTTGCATCTTCCAATTCGAAACTTTCTGCCGTCATTGACAAATACATAGGACATAAAAGTTTTACAGGAACAAAGTTTGCGTCAACTAATGTCAACGTTATACTTGCCAAAGTGTTTGAGTTCACTAAGGTTGAAAATTCTGCATTCGAATGAACAATAGGCAAACCAGCAGAGAAAGTATTGTTTATACGCATAAGTATCTTTTGGTCATAATAGTTTCTGTCGACATTCGAATAACACTTTGAACCTAAGTTTGAAACAATATATAAGATTGGTGTGCTTAATGTCAATGGAATAGACATTCCTTGTATGACACCTTTTCCTGTTATAGGAAACTGTTGGTAGTAAAAACCAGATATAAGTTTTGTATTATAGCTCATATCGTTTATAGTAAACTCAGTCGGACATCCAAACATAATGAAACCTGCTCTAGTTGCAGCACATGTTACACCCGTACTTAAAGTATTAAATAAGTCAACAAAACCTGTTGGTGGTATATCTGAGTAAGTATCTTCAAAGGAGTATTTTTTACCATTCACAACAATAAAGTCTTCTGGTGTCAAAAGAGCAAAACAGGCTTTAGTCGTCATTGTGTTTAAGGTTAGTTTACAATATCGTCCTTGAGGACTTTGTAAGTTTGTTGTTATAGAATTATATGACTCAGGGTTTTTAGTCGTAATAGTATAAACCATTATGTCTTCTGCCATTTATATATATTTAAAAGTTTTCTGAAAGTGGAGAAGAACTTCATCTAAACTTTCACATGGCGTTTCTTGAAGTTCTCTGTCTAAGAAGTTCAAATATTTTGTAAAGACATAGAACTTTCCTTTGTCTACACGAACAAACAAAACAGGGTCTTTCATATCGTTCAAAAAGTGTGTAAAGTCCTTTACATGAAATAAAGTCTATATTATTTTTCTTCAAACATCTTTCAAGAAGTTTTGACATTTTTACTTAGCAAATAAACTTTAATGAAATGTTGTGGTCGTCAAATTTTTTATAACGTCTGGGAAACTATACTTTAAGTTCAACGTTTCACCTCCTTTCATAACGTATATCTTGTCAATGACATTATATGAAACACCACAGCAACTAATGTCGGGTTCTATTTCTTTGATGTTTATATCGTCTGCCTCTGTCAAAAGTTTCAATAGTTCTTTCAAAACTTCATGAGGTGCAATGACATATGAGTTCACTTTTACAGGGTTGTGTTCGACCAAGTTTAACATTATACTTAAAGCTTGACAAATCTTCTCCTGAGTTTGAAGTTTGTCTTTCAGTTGTTGGTAGTCGTTTCGAATATCTGCAACAGAACTTAAGTCTCTGTTAACTTCAGGATATGTTGGTTCTTTTACAGGAACAATTGTTATACCATCTTTGTCTTCGTATGGTTTCCCCACTTCAACATCTCTGTCTTTGACATTGACAACAACACTTTGACTGTTTGTTTGAGTTGGTGAATTTAACTTCACATCTGCCACCGCCATTAAACCTTTTGAAACACTCACGCTTCTATTTTTCGGAAATGACATTTTACTTAGAATAAAAAGATGGACGTATTCGAGTATCTCTTCGAATTGAAGCAGAACAAAGTTTACACACACAAACAATACAAATACATTGACAGAATAGTTCTTTATACAAACAATGGTAAATGTTATAGAATAGCAATATTTGCTGAACCAAAATATTTCCATAAAGCAAAGAAAGTTGGTATAACTGAAATGGTGAAAGTTCTTGACGTTGACAAAAATATAACAACAAAACTTACAGATATTTCTAAAGGTAAGTTTATCTTACAATATTATGTCAAAACTGGCGTACTGTCAATATTTGACGGAGAGAAGTCAGTTCAAGAACAACTTACTGACCTGCTGCCAAAATCTGCTCGATGGAAGCTGTCGTTATGCCAATCTGAGGAGCCCCAGCAGGTTTCATCGAACGAATCTTCAAAAGAGCATCTTCCGTGAAAAGTGCTATTGGTTTTGTAAACTTCTTTGCTCTCAGTTCATCTGGACTGTCTCTGTCACCAGTATATTGTATTTGTACAGTACCAACAGTTGAAATACCACCCATAAAGTCTTCTGAGTCAGCAAATGGAATGCCAAGCCAAAAGTTTGAACGGTCTCCATTTGTATATTGAGTTTTTTGACCTCCTGTATGAGTCCATACTTTCACATATGGCATAATAGAACTTTGCATTTCAGGGTTAATGGTTGTTGTGAAATTGTTGTTAAAGTTCATAGCATCTAATGTCAAGTTGTATGACCTCATATCCTCAACTGTAGAATATTCTTCTCTTGGATAATATTTGCCATCTATGTTTATATGATATTTAATACCAGGGTTGTAGAAGCAAGAATAGTCATTTATAGTTCGTCTGAACAGTACAAACATAGTATCTGCATGTTTCATTGCAGTTGTTAAAGCAATATCTGTTCTTGCACCTGGGTCAGCACTTTGGTTTCCAACTTCACCTGCAAAGTCTTTGACAGATATTTGGTGTATAGGGAACATAAGTGGAACTGCAATATATTTGGCAGCTAAAGCATTTGAAATATCTGGGTCCAACATATAGACTGCAAGTCTGCTTTCTATTCTCTTGCATTCAAATTTTTCGCATGTGAACTTAACTGGGTCCCAAGCATCTCCAGCAGCATTGAAATAATAGTTTACTTCATTGTTGAAGTTTGAGAAACCAAAGTCTAAGTCAACTTTGTCTTTGCAAAAGTCACAGAACTTGGCTCCACCAGTTCCAGCTACAGTAATGCTGAATGGGTCTTGTGTTGGTGCAATGACTAAGTTATTTTTGCTTGGAGTAAGTTCGATAGAAATTTTTCCTGCCCAGTTTGGCAAGTATCTTAAAAACCTGAAGATGAGGAAAGATGACAAAGGAACTCTAAGTTTCAGTTTTACTTTAGTGGCAGCAGTTCCATCTGAACCAGAAAGGTTAACATAAACTCCTGGAACGTTAGGGTCAAGTCTTCTTATTTTCTCAATATTTGCATACTGGTCTGTTTGTTCTCTAGCTTGTGGTTGTACTGAGTTTCTCAAAGCGAACCATTCATAGTTTGCCCATGTTACTGTTTGAACTAAGTCAGAGTTAGAATATATCTTATATCCCATGAAAACTTCTGGAGCATATTGGTATCCGACATAGAAAATTCCATTGCAACCTTTCTTGTCAGACAACTTGGCAGAAGGTTTTATTTCAATGTCTTGTTCCACGTATAAGAATGAGTTGTCAATAGAAATAATATGAAACCTGTCGCAAGCAATATCTACTGTTGTTGAAGAACCTTCTCCAAACTCACCTACGTTTCCATAAGAAACAGCAGTTGTATATTCGTAAGTTCCAGGAACTATTTCTGACCTTCTAATGGCATTGTCGCATTCGTTATACCATTCGGAAACATTTCCGTTCATGGCATCCAAAACTGTTGGCGTTATATTCTGAGCGGCGTACATTTCATATGGGTAAAAATATAGAATAGTTGAATTTATGTGTCATAATTGTTTCGGACCAAGCTTTACTTTCTTCCTGACTGAGTTTTTAACTCTTCTTTTTCCTTCATTGCCACTACTTTCACTAGATGAAGTTACTTCTTCACTACTTTCACTTTGTTCTACTCTTCTTCTTTGGTGTCGCTTTTGGTAACTTGCCCTCTGCTTCAAGTTGTTGCATCTTTGCCTCATGTTCACCTAGTATGTTGTAAATTTCCCATGTCCTTTTTGCCTTTGGGCTCTGGTCGCCCATCTCAGGTAACCTATATCCTAGAAAGATTTTGTCATAGTTTGTATTTGAGTCTTCGCGTATTGTTTGCATGACTCTTTCCTGAGTTTCCGGTTCAAGCTCTTCAAACAGAGCTTGTCCATATGGAATAAGCTCGTTTCCAAATATATGTTTTTGTAGCCATTCTGGTTTTCTTTCCATGTTACCAATAATATCTTTTGTGAATGGGAAAGCTTTTACCCAATGTTTCAGTCTTGCGTCATTTATTTCTGTAGTTTCCAAAGGAGGGACTTGTTTGTTTCCTTCAGGCTCTTCTAGCTGTTGTTGCTGAACTATTTCTTCCATGTCTGGTTGTATCTGAACTTCTTCCAGTGGAGTTTCTTGTACCTCATCTGCTGGCATTTCATATATTCCGAGACCGTTTTTTAAAAAGTTCTATCTGCCGGACTCATAAACCTTTCTTCTTTCGTTCCGTCTCTATTTTTTACGCGTTTCATGAAGAGAGTTGAATTATCATTTAGCTCTGACACCAAATATCTCGGAGTAAATTCATTCATGTCATTTGGATGATATGCTATTAAATCATATCCCTTAGCGAGCTTGTATTTTCCAGGTTTGAAATTATATCCCATTTGGTGCTGAACCATAAAGCTAAATAGGTTCGGGTCAGTATTTCCTTCCTTGAACTTTCTAATAGCTTCTTTATATCTGTCACTAAAGTCAAGAGTATCTGGGTAACCATAGTCTTCCTTAAGCATTTTTAAGAATTCTTGGTTTCCTTGTTCTCTACTTCTTTTATGTCCTTGCTCTGTTTGTGGTTGTTGTGGTGCAGTGTTTTGAACTGTTGGTTGTGGTGTAGTGTTTTGAACTGTTGGTTGTGGTGCAGTGTTTTGAACTGTTGGTTGTGGTGCAGTGTTTTGAACTGTTGGTTGTTGTGCTGGATTTTGAACTGTTGGTTGTTGTGTTGGTTTTGGTGCATGCCTGTGTCTGTGTCCATGTGACGATGTAAATGTTTTAGGTAGTCCTGGTGCAGGTGCTTCTCTTGGAGGGTTTGGTGGTATATAAGTTCCACTAGCTAGTATATAAGTTCCACCAGCTGGTATATAAGTTCCACCAGCTGGCACATATGTTCCATCTGCAGCATAATGTCCTACCTGACTTTTCGTTTTTAAGAAAGCATTTACTAGGTCTGTTTTGGTCTGTTGTAACTCTTTTTCTTGACTTTCCACAACAGTTGCTCTAACGGCGTCATAGGCACTTTGAACTGCCTGTCTCGTTGCTGCATCTGTTATTTTCGTCATATTTTGTGCTACTTCTCTTAACTCGTTGTCGAAACCTTCAGACTTCAGTTTCTTTCCAGATGAGAAGTCGTTCACGTAGTTTCACCTTACTATGAAGAGCTTCGAAGGCGTTCTTAAAGTCAGCATTCATTAAAGCTTCATTTGAACTGTCTTCATCCGCTTGTATTTTTGTCCTTATGACCCTATAAGTTGGCTGCTTTGGCGTTGGCTTGGGCATCTAACCAGTCATTATTAGCTTATATATTCTGCGCTTTTCATTGCCTTTTGCATGGCTGCGTCGTTATTTTTACTTTCTTGTGCTAAGTTTTCATACTGTACGGTTTGGTTTTGCAACTGTAAAAGTTTTTCTGCCTTTACATTTGCTTCAACTTCTTTTTATACTCATCGCTATCCATATATGTCTTCATGGCTTTTTGTTTTATCTCTTCATCTTTCAGTACTTTATATTGAGTAGTATGGTTTTTCAAATTTATAACATCTTGTTCCATTTTTGCTACTTTCTGCTGCTTTTTCTGACACTTTTTTCGCATATTCCTCTGTACTTAGTTCTTTCAGTTGTTCTTCTTTCTTCTTTTTCTCTACGTTTAACTCATTGAGTTTCTTTGTGTGTCTGTCATATTCTAGTTTCTTTTCGTTTTCACTTATTTGTTTCTGTATGTCTATGTTTGACTTTTTGACATCTGTTATTTGATTTTTGAGTGAACTCAAATTCATTTGACTTTGAGGGTTATAAGCTGTTCCGTCTGCAGCTCCACCATAGCCTGCCATTTTCGCTAAAAGTGCCGCTCTTAAACCTCCACTCTGTGCACCAATAACTCGGTTTAAAAGCATAGGGTTGCTTGACATTTGTTGCAACATAGTGGGGTCATTCATCATTTGTTGTTGCAACTGTTGTTGTGGTGTCAGTTTTACTATTGGATGTTTCAATGCTCTCTTCCTCTTACGTATATTCTTACGTAGCTTACGTGGCATTTTAAGTGAAGTAAAAAACGGTTTTTGACAGATGTTTATATGACACTTTTTGTTCAGCACAAAAAACTACTCGGTCAAAGTGTTGTCAGTTTTGTAAAATAACCGTCCTATCTCATTCTATAAGGGGGAAAGGCTTCTCAAAGTATACTTCCTTGGAACGCCCGTAACTTTTCCTGTAGCGACGATAGACCCTTACTTGTCCGGACAAAGTTATACTAAACATCTTCAGGGCTAGAGGGCACGAAGTGCCTGGAGGCCCCACTCCCTTTTTTTTTTTTTTTAGTTTGATCATTTCTCATGATATACTGCATGAATCATTCGATATTCTACATTAATTTTCATGAAGATTTTTCCAAAAAAAATTCAAAAATCCAAAAATGAAAAGAAAAATGTAGATTTTCATAACAAAATCAGTAAAATGAAAAAATTTTGGAATTTAAGATCAATATTATTTAAGGGTTTCGTTTTGCGAAAAAACGTACAATACGCAATTTCGCTAAAAAAACATTTAGCTAGCAATTTCGACCTTTGACTCCACTCAAGACGTCACTTTTTTAATTTTGCGGTATCATATTTTTGGAAAATCTTTATGAATATTATATAAAAAGTCTCTTTAATATCTATATTTCATATTTTTATCGATTTTTAAAGTTTTTGCGAAAAGTATTCAATTATTTTTGCTATTTGGTCGGGTAAATGTTAGATTTGCGACATTTTCTGATATGATATTCAGATTCTACGTTGATAATAATGCATATAGAACCCTCTTGCTATTGTGTCAAAATTGCGAAACCGATAGCAAAAATATCTCGCAATATCAAAATTGAGATATTGAGTGAATTATGCATTATAGAGATTAAAAATCTGATTTGTGAAAACATCTCATCAGTTTCTAGCTAATTCAAAAATCTTTACTATCTTATTCGATTAAAATGAAAAGGGAATAGTTTCATTATGCTTTAAATGACAGCCTTATAATATAATCATAGTTTTTGCTCAATATGCAGCATTTTTTTTTCGAAATCTATGGTCAATATCCTAAATACTGATTGCTTTGCATTCATATCTCTTACATTTTCTATACCCACATCACTATTCATTGCTATTCCTATCTTTTTCATTTTTGTTTGTTTCTCATAATTTCTCAAAAAACATGATAACTTGATATTTGTAAATATCATACTTTATAACGTAAATAAGAACTTGACCTATTAAGAAAAGCAGTAATGAAAAGAAAATCTGAAATTCATAAAAATTACAAGTTTCTGATGACAATTAGCTTAATTAAACCAGGTACAAGATTATATAATTGTATTTTCTATCCAATTATCCATATAATATCTTATCCAGAAAAAATAACTTGATCAATACCAAATGATTTTTTAACTAGTAAATAAAGTATTTTCTTTACACACACATTGTATATCATAGTTTTTTTTTTGGTTTCGCAAAACATCCAAAAACAAATATGCTATAAAAGTGACAATTTTAGCAAAACGAAACCCTTATTATATATTAGAAAATAATATGAGTTTATGTGATATTATTTTTCAGAAGATTTCATTCTATATGCCTATGAAAAGTACTCTCAAAACTAACTTTTTCCTAATTATAATTAAATCTAGAATATTGTATTATGCTTAGTATTATTTCATTTTTCTCATTCAATTTAGAATTTACAAATGTCAAAAAATTGAGAGCTGTCACTTTTGATGAATTTCTGTTTATTACAATTGGGATAGTTATTTGTTATAATTTAAATTTTATTCGAATCATTAAAAAAGTAGTGGGGCTTCCAGGCACTTCGTGCCCTCTAGCCCTGAAGATGTTTAGTATAACTTTGTCCGGACAAGTAAGGGTCTATCGTCGCTACAGGAAAAGTTACGGGCGTTC